GCCCCTGATCATGTCTTTCTAACTATAACGCATTGTCCTTGCAGACCTGTGACCGCATCAAGCAGTCAGCAGCTGGCACCAAGCGTCGGGTGTTTATCATTGAGACTATGGGTGGCTACTGTGGCTACCTGGCCACCATGGCTGGACTGGCAGCTGGGGCCGATGCTGCCTACATTTTTGAGGAGCCCTTCACCATTCGAGACCTGCAGGTAGCTGGCCACCCAGAGCCTGCTAGGTAGCTCTCCCGTCTCCAGACTGTTTCCACAGTGATCTGAACTATGAGAGCTCAAGTTGAGGACAGAGCTGATTGGTCTGTGGAATCCTGTGAAGACCAGAAAGAGCACTATGCAGGCATTCTCTGGTGTCACCTCACAGGCATGACCGCAGCTACTATTGTTGGAATGCTCATTTTGAATCAGGTGGCCTGGTGCTAAGCCCTTTGTGGGCATTTTTGCATTTTATCTTCACAATAGACATGCAAAGAAGATACTATCTCCATATAACGTAGAAAGGTTTAGAGAGGCTAAAAAACTTTTCTAAACTCCTAAGTGAGCAGATGGTTTAACTGATTGAGAAAGTCAGTGATCTTTTTACTATATCATGTCTCCCCTTCAGATTTCCCTTACTCCCGTTCTGCTTTTGAGAGAGATGCTGTCTCAAAATAGAGACATAAAGTGTCAAGACTGACACTGGGACCACAAGTCAGCCCTCTGAAGCAAGGGGAACCAGAAAGGCTTGGAAAGGGAGACTGGAGAGGGTGAGGGACTGAACACTGACAGTTACTGCAGCTATCTGTAGTGCTCCCTCTTCCAGTTCTGTCTCATTTGGAGTCATTGTTTAAATTTTAGTCCACACTGAGGTTCTTAAAGGAATTAGGCCCAGTTGAGGCCCAGGATTGTAAACAACTCTCTTCCATGTCTCTCTTCCTTCCTGGAGAGGTGTGGTGTGGAAGAAGAGAGATTTATACCCAACCTTATCCACTCCCGATTAGGCTTAGGATTTACTCTTTCATTTTCAGGCAAATGTTGAACACCTGGTGCAAAAGATGAAAACAACTGTGAAAAGGGGCTTGGTGTTAAGGTACCTCATCCATGGTTCCTAAGTGGAGAAGAAAAATAAGCTTTGGCTCAAACTCATAGAATGGCCAGGGTTGGGACACCCTGAGGAATCTGTAGATATAAAGGGAGGGGGCCAGCCTATCCCTTGAATCCTGGGAGGAGACAAAAATTGAAAGGAAAGAACAAAGGCAGAAAGGGGGGATGGAAAGCCAACCCAGAGTCACAGGCTTTTGGTCTCCACCTGGCAGGAATGAAAAGTGCAATGAGAACTATACCACTGACTTCATTTTCAACCTGTACTCTGAGGAGGGGAAGGGCATCTTCGACAGCAGGAAGAATGTGCTTGGTCACATGCAGCAGGTAGGGAAGACACCCTAGTCATGCCCTTCATCAGACAGCCGTACCTGCCAACAGCCACTGAGGCTTCCACTGGCCTTTTCCAGTCTTCTGGAGGAGCCTGTTAGTGCCATCATAGAGCATGGGCCTGCAGTCTCTTACAGTCATAGAACCAAAACATCTTTATCCTGGAAATGACTTTAGAGATTATATGGTCTATCCTTTTCATTTAGGGGAGGGTTTTCAACCTTGGCAGCTTTGCCTTTTGGGGCTAGATGATGATTTGTTATGGGTAGCTGTTCTATGCACTGTAGGACAGTTGCACAGCATCCCTGGTGTCTACCCACTAGATGCCAGTAGCACCTCCCTCTCACTCCCGATTATAACAAAAATGTCTCCAAACATTCCCACTTTCCCACCTGCTTCCTCTTAATTAAAAGGAAATCTGTATGATATTTTGTATTATTCTGAGGTGCTACCAAGGGCAGCCAGATTGGGCCACAAAAAACACTTTTATGTCATCATTGACAGTGACCAACAAAAGCTGCTGGGCTGAAGAGGGGCAGGCAGCTGACCCTTTGGCCAATAAGACTAAAACAGGATCTGGCAGCTGTGGAGCTAAAAGAGGGGATTGTGGGGCCAATCATCTTCTTTAGTTATTCTTATATCTGATGCATGGCCAAATGTGCTGGGCCAGCCTGGCCTTGGATCCTGGCACTGCTTCAGGACACCCTTTCATAGTTTGATTTCTGGATTCCTGTTTTGGGCCGTAAACCTGGGGCCCATCTTTCCTTTTTCTCTGTGTGTCTCGATATCTCTGTCAGTTTATTAGAGTCCTTCCCTCTGTAATTTTTATGTTTCTTTCTCCAGGGTGGGAGCCCAACCCCATTTGATAGGAATTTTGCCACTAAGATGGGTGCCAAGGCTATGAACTGGATGTCTGGGAAAATCAAAGAGAGTTACCGTAATGGTAGGTGGGGTGAGAGACCGAGTGCCCTCTGTAGAGGCTGGTTCCCCAGTATAGAAGCTGATTGACCATCCCTTATTGCAGGGCGGATCTTCGCCAATACTCCAGACTCGGGCTGTGTTCTGGGGATGCGTAAGAGGGCTCTGCTTTTCCAACCAGTGACTGAGCTGCAGGGCCAGACAGATTTTGAGTGAGTACCTCTGCTTTCTGGAGTGGTTCTCTCCCTGGTAGTTTCAAGCTCTACTGTCCTCAACCTGTTCACTGTCTTTAATCTTTTTAAGGAGTAACACCTGTATTCTTACCCATTTCAGATGTGATGCACATGTCCTAAATCTAACCTCTTCTGTCCAACTTCTTTCTATAAACCTTTGGTAGAAGTTGATTAGGGTACTAAAAGATTATATCATCATCTACCTCATTCCTCTGTAGGCATCGAATCCCCAAGGAACAGTGGTGGCTGAAACTGAGGCCCATCCTCAAAATCCTAGCCAAGTACGAGATTGACTTGGACACTTCAGACCATGCCCACCTGGAGCACATCACCCGGAAGCGGTCTGGGGAAGGGGCTGTTTAAACCTCTCTGGAGTGAGGGGAACAGATTATCTGATCATGGTCAGCTCACCCCCTGATAAGTCCACATCTTCTCAGTGTTTTAGCTGTTTTTTTCATTAGGTTTCCTTTTATTCTGTACCTTGCAGCCATGATCAGTCCTGGCCAGGAGCTAGAGGAGGGGGCAGTGGGTGGGAGCTCCTATTAGGTAGAATTTAACATGACTTCTGCCCCAGCTTTATCTGTCACACAAGGCTGGGCACCTCTAGTGCTACTGCTAGATATCACTTGCTCAGTTAGAATTTTCCTAAAAATAAGCTTTATTTATTTCTTTGTGATAACAAAGAGTCTTGGTTCCTCTACTACTTTTACTACAGTGACAAATTGTAACTACACTAATAAATGCCAACTGGTCACTGTGCTTTCGTTTCTCCTGTTATCATCTTCCCAAGTGGAATGTAATACTGTCAGCCCCATGTATCAGACACTTGCCTGATGAAGCAGTAAAGATGTTAAGGGTATCACAGGGGGTAGAGGAAGGGATTATCTCTAGTACACTACTTGCTGGCTGTCTGAAAAATTATCACGGCCAAACTCTAAAAACAGTTCTAAATAGTGACTGAGAATGTTTGTTGCTGGAGTCAGGGATTAAGGCAGCCAGATACTCTTTGCACAGTTCTTCAGTGGGAAGAGAAATTAACAATAAATATCAAGCACTGTGGTAGGCATTTCATCACTGAACTCTCAAAGTAGCTTTTGGAGGGCAATAGTGACAGCCTGACTTCAGAAAGGAGGACACTGGAGCTCAAGATGATTGATTACATAATGTCTCCTTCAATATTATTCAAGTAGAACTCAAAACTCAGTTCTGACTTCAAACCTCATCCTCATTCCCCATTCCTCTGCTTCCTTACCATGCCATATCAAATCCCCAGAGCCATAAGGCCTATGAAAATGAAGTGAAAGGGAAAGTGCAGGCATTCATTCAGAACGTTTTAAATGCTAATTGCCATTGATTTATAGGTTCTCTTTCCTATCTTTAATCTTAGAGCTGTTTCCTCGAGAAAATGAAGAGGGAAGGATGGCTCAGGGGAAGCTAATCAGAGGGAAAATGTCACTCTGTAAAGACTAAAAAAATTAGGATGATGATACGATCTGGGGAAAAAAAAGGCATAGTGAAGACCACTTAAAAACAAAAAAACGAAAACCTGTGAAGGTGCATGCTATTTCCCCAGAGCTAAAAAGATAAGTGAAATTGTGTTTGAACTCTTAAGTGGAGGTAAAGCAGAAGTTATTAGCCACCAACCACGAGTGATTATGAAGTAACTGAGAAACAGGTAACATTTTTTCCCACATGGACAAAACTTTCTCTTTCCAGAATATTAAGTATCTATGATGAGAAATGAAATAGCATCTAAAGCAGTTTATAAATCTACCAGAATATTAGAATCACCTGAGGCCTTTGAACATACTCATGCCCAGGTCTATTTATTTTTCTGTAGAGATGGGGACTTCAGCTCCTGGTCTCAAATGATCCTCCCTTCTCGGCCTCCTAAAGTGTGAGGATTACAAGCATAAGCCACTGCGGCCAGCCCTACTAGGTCTGCTTTGGACCAATTAAATTAATCTGTGGGGGTGGAGCCTGGGCCTTAGTATATTTAAAATTTTTCCTAGGTGGTTCTAATTAACAACTAGACTTGAGAACCACTGACTAATGCAGTGGGATCTCATTCCTGGCTACATCTGAAGCACTCAAGCCCCCAGAGACCAGAAAATTCCAAAGAATTGGTATGAGGTGAAGTCTTGGCACCAGTGTTTTTAAAAAGCCTTCTTAGTAACTTTATGTGCAGCTGGAGTTGAGAACATAAAAGTAGTAATTCCAGATTTGGGGTGGGAGAAGGTATAAAGGAAGGGGAAGCTCTTCAGATACTCTGCCCACGCCCTCCTGTTCACTCCAGCAATGCCCAGAATCACTGTTGCCAATGGGAGAAAAGTTGGGATGAAAAGTTACATTGAACAGCCAGACAGTAAAAGAAGAACTTTTTCTAAGGGGGGTTGGAGAAAAGTAGGAAAAGTAGAAATTGCGAAACTTGCTTTTAGAACTATTTATTCCTCTTTTTTTTTTTAATGGTGTTTTTTAAACACCAGCATCAATAGGACAAAATACATGTTTTCCAATTAGCTGTGTCAGTAGATTCCATTCATTGTTTGTAGTTCCCAATCAGCTTTAAAAAAATGTTTTTCAAATTTGCATACAAGTCATCTAAAATCAATAACAACTTGATCTAGTTTAGAAACATGAAATGAAAGAGTATTGTTCACTAAAGCAGATCTCTTTTGGGTAGATGGACCATCACAAAAGCAGCTCTTATATGCTTTTCCCACTCCCATCCCAAGCCCACCCTCCTGCCAATTGTATTGTATAAATCAATAAAAAGCAAAGGTTCCAGAACAACTGAAAGAAAAATAATTCCAAACTAAGCAGAGTGAGCTTTCCATTGGGAATGAAGACCCATGGGAAAAGGCAGCCCAGCCCATAAGTCCTCCCTGCTGGAACACACACTGTAGGTGTAGGAACTGCCTGCGAAGCTCATTAGAACACACTGGCTCTCAGGAAGAGAAAAAGCTGCATTACAAGAGAAGTTCTCAGGACTTTAGGAGTTCTTAGGACTGTTATTTCAGAGCTATTTATTACTGTTATTGCAGAGCTCTTATTATTTCAGAGCTACTGTGTAGCCCTTGGGCACAACCAAGAGAAAGAGGCAAAGACTGCTGTTTCCTTTGATGAGGGGAAAGAGGTCCAGTCCCTTCTGAATGCCCCAGAACATGGCACACTAGGGATGTCATCCAGCCCAGTTCTGGATCTGCATCATTTGAGGTTATAGTATCCTCATCTTTGGGACGCAATTGCTGTTAGCTGAAATTGTGATTTTCTTAAATTTTTTCACAGATCAATTAAAATCTTTTTTTTTTTGAGACGGAGTTTTGCTCTTGTTGCCCAGGCTGGAGTGCAATGGCGTGATCTCAGCTCACTGTAACCTCTGCCTCCCAGGTTCAAGCAATTCTTCTGCCTCAGCCTCCCGAGTAGCTGGGATTACGGGCGCATGCCACTATGTCTCGAACTCCTGACCTCAGGTGATCCGCCTGCCTCAGCCTCCCAAAGTGCTGGGATTACAGGTGTGAGCCACCATGCCTGGCCTAAAATGCTTTCTAGAAGGGATTCTTCTGGACCATTAACCATGTCCCCAAAGGAAAACCACACACACATTCTTTAAGTACTTTCCATCTTCCCAGAGAAATTTAGTTGCACTGCTGACTCCTTCCCTAAGGGGGAGGATTGAGGGAGACTTCTTCTGCAAAGTGCAATATAAAAAGCCAAGTAAGCAATAAACAGAAAACAAAAGTGAGGGATTTTTTTTTGTTTGGTTGTTTGGTTGTTTGGTTTGGGAAGGGGAGGTGCTATGGAGGTTACTGTTGTGACATGTTGCTTCAAAATCTATAAACCACACAACAGGAACAACTGTTTTTCTGTTTTCTGTGACAAAGAGTACTGCAGGCACAACCTCACCCAGAGTTGCCTGCATGATGGTGCAAACATCTTCTCCGGGCTATTCTAAAAGTAACAGGTATTCCTTCAAAGAAGCTGGCAGTGGAAGGCCCTTCACTGCATCAGGGAGATACTGGAGTCCCAGGCTACGGCGTACGGCATAGCGAGCAAGTGTTTTTAGAGTCCCTGGAGCTGAGCACAGAACAGTCAGTTTTTCACATAGCTGCGGGTCTCTGGCCACCTCTCGTGGCATGGTGCCATTTTTCCTCAATTCAAAGTGTCCAACAGCTCTGTGGAGGAGCTCAAAGCAAGAGTCCTCTTTCTCTGTTCCAAGTCCCCTGACTAGCAGAGCCACCAGGCGGGAGATGGGTGTCTGGCCTATTAGGTTGATGACTCTGACCTCTGCGCCATAATCCAGAAGAATACTGACACTCTCAAGATTTCCTTTCATGGCAGCCCAGCTGAGCGGTGTATCATTGTTATAATCCAGGGCATTGACAGAGGCCCCACTCTCTAGGAGAGCCCGCACACACTCAGCATTGTTCTTAAAGGCTGCCCAGTGAAGTGGGGTATCTCTGTTGCCATCCAAAGCATTTGGGTTTGCACCATACTCCAATAGGACCTCCACACAAGCCTCATCTTTCTCTGCTGCATAGTGGAGGGCTGTTCGGTTATACCCATCCAGGGCATTCACCTGTAAAAAGGGAGGAACTATTACAGTAGACAGACTACTGAGAGGAAGACAGGACAGCAGCAAAGCAGCTTACATGGTTACCCACTACCTTTGCTATGCAGTGCTCTGAACAAGAGGGTCAACAAGCAACTCCCAGGGAGTGCTGGTGATAAAGATGAAGATATGACAGGAGCTTAGGAGCAAAATGGAAAAGAACTGTCCTCAAACAGTCAACACTATTATGTGCATTGACTAGCTGGTCTGCATTATTTCGGTTTTTGCTGCAATGTTCATTTATTCGTTAGAAACTCTACCACAGAGTAAAGGGTAAGGCAGGAATAGAGGAAGTCTTAAGTCCCTGTAACTGCTCAGAAAGATATTTACTGGAAAGTTGCTTGACTACACAGAGTTTTGGATTATTTTACTTATCCTGACCCTTTCTGTACCCTGTGGCTAATGTAGCAATCAAACTGAAAAACACGGCTTTTGCTATGTTCTTTAACCATACAGAGAAGTTCAAAATGTTAGAATGTAAGTCAGACCTTTCCAAAAATACGCTGTGGGTTCACAAGAGAACCCAAATGAAAGTATGTGATAGGAAGAACACAAATCTCCCAGTGCTGGAAAAGCAGCTGGCTTGCTGACAGTCAGCATCACTTGCAGTTTTTTTCTTCACATTTCCAAATAGCATATTCCCTCATCAATGAAAAAAACAAAACAAAAAACCCTGAAACATTTAAGTAAGTTCAACCTTCTTTTGGCTAAAACCTATCTTAAGTACCACTTCTTAAGTACTTTAAGTACTTTTAAGGATACTTTAGATTTAATTAGAGTTGAGGGATCTCTGCGTTTATATTTCCTGGATAGACAATAAGCAATGAGAAGATTAAATGGCAATATAAACAGCACCTACAAGGTAAGCTTCCTGAAGTGATGGCCAGTGACAGCTTAAGTTAAGGAGAAGAAAGAAAAGCAGAGTATCAGCACTATAAAATGGGGCAAGCAGGGTGGGGACAGAAAGGCAAAGGAATGAAATCCTTATATCATTTTATATATTTACCATTACATTTTCCTTAATATTGGCTATGCCAACATTACCTTGAGTTAGAATTTCAGACTGGAGGAGGGAAGAGATGGAGGAGTGATGGGGAGAAATTCTAAGAAAGCATGAAGCTCAAGTTTTAGTGAATCATTAATGTGAATGTGTTAAAAACATTACCTCGGCTCCTTTTTCCAGAAGTAACTCCACACAGTCAGCATCTGACACCATACAGGCACAGTGCAAGGGCTTCAGTGTACCATGAGTGCAGTTCACATCTGCTCCCTGTGGGCAGAAGACAACTTCAGTCAGTGTGCTCAGTTCTGGCTTGCCCAGCAGGACAGAATTCAGAACTGAGTCCAGGGGACAGAGCGTTCTCTATTTTATAGGTACACTGCTAGTTCCTTGTTTCCTTTTCTATTAATTAATATGCCAATGTCCAAACTAAAGGAGTACACTGAAGAAGAAGGAAAACAACTGTTAATTCCTTAGATCAAGTTACTAAGTTCCTCCACAAGGGAGCCTGCCAGATGGTCATCTGGACATTATTGAAGACATAATCTTATGTGTCAAAGCACTGGAAATCTTATCATCAGGCAGGAAAGCTGGACCAGCAGTCCACTTTCTATGGCCACTATGCTCTGAAAAAGTAGGAAAGTGAGTCTGTCAGACTGAGGCCAGAACTGGCATGCATTTTTGGCCATTCAGCAAATGACCATCACTAATAGTGGCATCATATTAACACTATTTTTCCTTATTTATAAACATCTTCAAAGTAGCCTCTTAGTATCAGCATTCTTTACCACCTAGCCTTTGCTGGTGCTTCTATTCAAAATCAAAGGACAGGCTGGGCACGGTGGCTCACCCCTGTAATCCCAGCACTTCGGGAGGCTGAGGCGGTCAGACCACCTGAGGTCAGGAGTTTGAGACCATCCTGGCCAACATGGTGAAACCCTGTCTCTACTGAAAATACAAAAACTAGTCAGGTGCGGCGGCAGGCGCCTGTAATCCCAGCTACTCGGGAGGCTGAGGCAGGAGAATTGCTTGAACCTGGGAGGCAGAGGTTGCCATGAGCCGAGATTGAGCCACTGCACTCCAGCCTGGGCGACGAGGGAAACTCCGTCTCAAAAAAAAAAAAAAAAAAAATCAAAGGAGATGGAGATACCAGTCAGACCAAAGTCACTGAATGACTCAGCAGCAGAGCTAGAATTAGAATGTGACAAGGTTTCCACCGCGGAGTCTTCTGACACCACTTTTGCAGAGAATAAGCTAACACTGCATGACTTTTCCTTCTCCAGTTGTGCCCAATAACTCTGAAGCAGCTACAGAGATCCAGGCTGTAAATGAGGAGCCTGAAGTCTTAGAATATACAGAAGTAACCATCTGGATGCATTTTCTGGTGATCAAAAAATTACTCTGTAACTTCTCTTCAACAAGAAAAATAAATAGAAGAGGATAGTAAAGACCTTCTAGGATACCAGTCATATAACAATTATTGAAGAGCGGTGATTAAACATCAGATGGTTAAGGTGTTTTCTTAAACTATAATTACCACGCATTTTAGAGGTTGATATCCTCTACAGAGCTAGAAGTGGTAGCTGCTTTTAACATAGAATGTAAGTACAAATCTCTCCATGTAATTATTATAACCCAGGTATGAAGAAAAGCTCACAGGATTTAAAAACCACCCCTGTAGCCAGGCACAGTGGCTCACACCTCTAATCCCAGCACTTTGGGAACCCAAGGCAGGTGGATCGCTTGAGCTTGGGAATTCAAGACCAGCCTGGGCAACATGGTGAAACCCCGTCTCTACAAAAAATTTAAAAAAAAAAAAAATTAGCTGGACATGGGTGGCATGTGCCTGTAGTCTCAGCTACTTGAGGGAGCTGAGGTGGGAGGATCGCTTAAGCCCAGGAGGTCAAGGCTGCAGTAGGCCATGTTTGCATCACTGCACTCCAGCCTGGGTGACAAAAGTGAAGCCCTGTCTCAAAAAATAAAAATAAAAACCACCTCTGCTTTGCTCACCTCCTCTCTTAATAAAACATGTATAGAAGACTTTGAGCTCAATGGATTACATATGCATCATACTTAGATATTTTACAAATAACATGAGACTAGGGTTATTGAGAACATATTCCATGAAGAAAAATGTCAGATACACAAAGTGAAAGGGAGAAGGGAAGCGAAGCAAACATAGGGGAAATATATTTTAATGATCAAGTTAATGCAGTTAGCAAAATATAAAAACTTCCTGTGATCTTGGGTTGAGACAAAGCTGCAAATCTGTGATCCATGAGGATTTACAGAGCTTTCCCACTTCACATCGCAAGGACTCTCCTGTCAATACCAGCACACTCACCCCTCTGATGAGGTCCTCTACATTATCATGTGGGAAGGAACGGATGGCAGCAATTGTTCGGATTAAGCGCTCTGAGAGAGAGTATTTGCTCTGAATGCTCTGCATAATATACCACATACTGGAACTCATCAAGGCTCAGGGTGTTCACATGCTCCAAACTGCCTGAAACAAAGAAGTTTTCGGCATATACAATATTATTGAGCACACCTGTCTTTAGGGTTAGGTGTTCTCTGAGGCCTTCCCTTCCCAATACTAAAAGCAGATTTCAAGGAATGATTAATACTATTTTCATAATCATAAGGAATTGGATAATAGTTGCCTAGGGAGTTCGATAAACTTGGACACAAGATTTCCCCAAGAGGTACTAAGACCCCCATGGAGCTCTGTGTGGTTTACAAACAAGACTAGGCAGGGAATAGGATTTTTAAAAGGCTGAGGAGGTCACAAAACATTATTTTCCTTCTTTGAATTTTGTGGTTTTTATGATCAGCACCACCATTAAGTTATTTATAACACTGGGCCTTGCAATATAGTTATGTACATATTGTTTCTCCAACTATACTGTAATCAACTGGAAGGCAAAGACTTTGTCTTCTATTCTTTCATCCATGTAAGGCCAGCCACCGAATCTCACAAAAGGTAGGTATTTAACAAACACTGGTTGGTTACGACTAAACAGTATAGAAGTGATTGTCATCTGTGAAAAGATAGGAAGAAGGCTATGGAGCAAATATATCTAAATAATGAAAAGGCATCTGAAATATTTTCAAATGTCTTCAGAAGAGATAAAAGAAATATTTGAGGTAATAGTCTAAAATAAGAAAGGAAAGCACAAGTATAACTACCCTAGAATCATCTATATAAAACTAAGAAAAAATTAAAGTTCACAATAAAATATACTTTCAGTTTTAGGAAAATTTGAAGATTTTAAAATGAGTTAAAGGCGGAGCGTGGTGGCTCACACCTGTAATCCCAGCACTTTGGAAGGCTGAGGTGGGTGGATCACCTGAGGTTTTAATCTCTCCAGTAGCCACAAAACTGCTCTGAGACAAGTGTCTGTATCTTATAACTTTTTTGTTTCAAGGAAAAAAAATACAGAGGTGCCTTTGAGTTGGTAATTCCAAGAACAGCAGCAGGAGACAGAGCATCGAAAGCAGGAGGCTTGGACCAAAGTAGTTCTGCTGCCTGTAATCCCAGTACCTTGGGAGGCCAAGGCAGGAGGAGCTCTTGAACCCGGAAGTTCAAGACCAGCCTGGTCAACATGGCAAGACGACCCCAAAACCCAACCGTCTCTACAAAAAAATTCAAAAATTAAAATAAATAAATAAAGTGGTTTTGTTAACCATTTCTGGGCCATGATAATCTGATGAAACTAAACTCTGCATTCATTTTCCAGGCGCTCTTGGACTCTGGGCTAAGAACTCCTGAGAATATAGTCAGCGGTCTGCTACTGCCTGGAAGCTCCCGGTAAAGGAATGAAACTTCAGGGCAGATTGACAGCATTCACTGTGAGGAAGGGTCAAGGAAATCTAAATTCGATCTCACCAGACAGCAGCCCGTGTACGGTTTGATTCCCTTGGAAGGCCCTTTCCTCTGCTAGAGCTGAAAGCCCTGTCTCCCTCGTTTTCTTTTGCTACGGGATCCAGAGAAAACACCAAAGGGCATTTACTGCAAAGCTGGAGGAAACAAACAAACAAACAAACAAACAAAAAACCAAAAAAAAAAAAAAACGCTAAATGGAAAAGAAGACACAACAGCTCTGATGCGAGGAGGCCTCGGCCCCCGTCCCCTCCCGCCCCAGGAGAACCTTGGCGGAGCCTGCACCGCCCCCTAATCCCACCACACCTGCTGCGTGAGGGGTCGCGGCAGCTGTCTAGCTGAGGCTAGGGGGCGGGGGGCAAGGGTACGAAATGCAAGGACGTGCGGTGTCACTTTCCGCACCGGCTCCCAGCAGATAGCAGCAATCCCGGCAGGTCTGGTACTGAAAGAGAATCACGCAGTTTGCGCTGGGGAGCCTCAGACGCGGACCAACCCCTCCCGGATCTGCCCCCTAAGGCCCGGAACTAAGTCTCAGCCTCGAGAGCTAGAGCACTTCCACTGGGGAGTAGAGGAAGCGTTATTGGGCGTGGCACCCTGGGTTAGGACACCTGGCTGTAGATCCGCACCAAGCACCGCACTCACCGAATTGCCGGGCTGAGGTGGGTGTTGAAAGCCGCTGTCAGCGCGTGACCTGGAAGCAGAAGCTGTCGGGGGCAGGCCCCTCTGTTTACAGGACAAGAAGACCAACTAAGATGGGCGCCTGCGTACTGATGAGTGTTCGTCACTGGGGCGCGCCTGCGCAGACTTGTGCAGCAGCTTCCGTCCTCACTAGGCCTAGTTAGGGGGTTACTTTCTCCTTTTACACAGAGGCTTTGTGCGCAGGCTCAATGCAGCGTTCTCGGCCACAGTGGCAGGGTTCGGGTCTTGGTCCTGCAGTGGGGGAAAAAAAGCTCAGGAACCCTGGTCGTTGGGCCGATTCTATGTGGTTGCACCTGTGTGGACCAGGCCAGCAGGGGGTCCATCCACAATGGTTCAGTTACTTAGGAGACTAAACTCCTAATAAGAAGTGTCTGTGACAAATAAAAATACTTCCAGCATTATTCATAATGGTGGAACCAATCTATACTCCTTAGAACCCTCCTGTACATTGTCCACTCTCCTTCAAGTAAACCATATCAAAGACAAACTCAACCACCCAAGAGGTATAGTATTCTGAATGTAGAGGAATAAATGACCTTTATTTATAACTCTTATTAGGGTTAATGAACCTTCCTGTGCAAAGACATGATGACACCTCTGAGTGACAGACTTTCTGTGCAAAGTATAAACATTTTAAAGTCAGCAGCACATGGTGGTGGTGCATGGAAGGAGTGAAGCAGCCCATTCAGGCAGACTGCAAGAGTTGTGGTCTGCCCAGCAGCCTGTTTAACCAGAGTGCCCCACACTTACTCCCCAAAGCTTGTTCTAAGCAACCAAATCTAACCAATTAGAGATTTAAAGCAGGCCCAGACAGTTCATGTACATCATTGAGAGGATGGTGAACTGAAAGTTCATGACCTGGTCTGAGGAGTGAGCCTCCTTTGAGCTCCAGACTCAAAGGAATTTTGCCAGGTAGGAATATGCCCTCCACTTCCTGCCACTGCACCATGGTGAGACTGTCCATTTTTTTCAAAAGAAGCTGAAATACAGATTTTTTTAAAAAGTGAATTCTTCCAAGTTGCAAATGTTGGCAGTGTTTTGTTTGTTTGTTTTAATTTTTGAGACGTAGTTTCACTCTTGTCACCCAGGCTGGAGTGCAATGGCGTGATCTCGGTTGGCTGCAACCTCAGCCTTCTGGGTTCAAGTGATTCTCCTGCCGAAATAACTGAAACTATAGGCACCTGCCACCACACCCGGCTAATTTTTTTTTTTTTTTTTGTATTTTTAGTAGAGATGAGGTTTCACAATGTTGGCCAGGCTGGTCTCAAACTCCTGACCTCAGGTGATCCACCCTCCTCGGCCTCCCAAAGTGCTGGGATTACAGGCGTGAGTCACCGTGCTGGACCACATCTCTCAAATTTCTTGGTTGGGAAATGCTGAAGTATATAAATTCTGGGAAACCATCAGCATCTTACAAATGTAAGAATGAGTGGAGTCTCCCAGGGAGTGATAAAATAGGCTCTCAATACAGGTTATTTTACTTATTTATTGAAACACTGAATACACTTTTATTTTACATGGCGTGCAACTCAGTATATGCAGAAAAGTACTCTATGTCACACTCATGATCAATATCCTCTTATTTCCATTTGGCGTGTCTTTGAAAACCTAGTACATCACTAAGCTAAAAATCACATGAAAGACCCCTAGAGAAATCAAACTAACTTTTTCCCCCCCAAACAGTAGATCTCATCTTTATTAGTCAAATCAGCATCTGCTGATAGTGCAGTGGAGCAAAGCTGACAGTGATATTCATTAACAAAGAAGACAAAACTTACGCTTTCAGGTATAAAGATCAACTCTGAATGGCAGAGAGCCTAATCTGACTATCATCAGCCACCAAGAACTCAGAAGAGCAAATAACTCAAGAAGAGAGAAGCCAAAGCACTATGAAAATTATTCTTTTCTGTGAAATTCAGTTCCACAGCCTGTATGAGCAAGGGTCCGAAGCACTGGAGAGCCAACAAAGCTGCTGGGAGGGCCCATTCATAATGGGAGATGTACTGGCTGTGTCTCCCTATGCTGTGTCCTTCCATGAGCTTCCTCCACTCTTTACTGACTTCATTTTGACTTGGTCCTCTGGTCTCACCACAGCTACTTGGGAGACTTTGAGTTGTTATCTTACGGTTCCGAGAGTCTGTTTTGATTGACTGAACCCAAGAGTAACATGGCAATCCACAATAGAAGCGTTCTCATGGTACAATGGTACAAAGGTCATTCTGTAGGTTGCATATATATATATAAAATTCTAATTCCACATAAATATACATATATATATTTATATGGAAGACAAAGCTTCTTTTTTTTTTTTTTTTTTTTTCCGATAAAGTCTCACTCTGTTGCCCAGGCTGGAGTGCAGTGGCATGATCTCGGCTTACTGCAACCTCCACCTCCCAGGTTCAAGCAATTCTCCTGCCTCGGCCTCCCAAGTAGCTGGAATTACAGGCGGGCCCCACCACACCTGGCTAATTTTCGTACTTTTTTTTTTTCTGAGACAGAGTCTCGCTCTGTCGCCCAGGCTGGAATGCAGTGGCGCGACCTTGGCTCACTGCAAGCTCTGCCTCCCGGGTTCACGCCATTCTCCTGCCTCAGCCTCCCGAGGAGCTGGGACTACAGGCACCCGCCACCACGCCAAGCTTATTTTTTTGTATTTTTTAGTAGAGATGCGGTTTCACTGTGTTAGCCAGGATGGTCTCGATCTCCTGACCTTGTGATCCGCCCGCCTCAGCCTCCCAAAGTGCTGGGATAACAGGCATGAGCCACCGCGCCCGGCCTCAATTTTTGTATTTTTAGTAGAAACGGGGTTTCACCATGATGGCCAGGCTGGTCTCGATCTCCTGACCTCAGGTGATCCACCCACCTTGGCCTCCGAAAGTGTTGGGATTACAGGCATAAGCCATCGCGCCTGGCTGCCTCCTTCCTCTTTAACAAGAGAATGTTGCACCCAGCATCACTGCTTTGGCTAGCTCTTTTTTCCTGTGTGCCCTCATGTGTGCAGCAATTGAACTGGCTAACAATTTCTGCATTCTTCCTGGTCTAGCCAAAATAATCTGGAAACTCACCATCTAGCCCAATCAAAGACATTATTATTGTATGATTCACTAACATAGTCTTCATCTTCATCCTTAGGGCTAGTGCTATAATATACTCCGTATGCTCTGGCCACATGATTGATCTCTTCTTTTGTGCCAATCAAGCCAACCAGTTTGGGAGAAAATTCTTTCACATAATTTGCAATGGCCTTTTTTGTGTCCCTCTCTGGGTCAATGGTGATGAAAAGTTAAATTTGGCAGAGTTGGAATACTATCTCATCCACAACTTGAATCATTTTTTCTAGTTCTTCTGCAAAGATATCAGTAATGACTGAAACAAGAATAAATCAACAGCCACTGACCCAGGCAGTCTTTGTCAGTTTTAGGCTCTCCAAATGTGTTGTGAGGGAAGATGGTCCCCCAATAAAGGCTTGTTGATGCTTCATTGCTGTTTCTTCTCTAGCTTCTGTCTTTTCTATTTTGAATACTTCACTCCAGCCAGTAAACTTCCTCCCATAGCAAATGTGAATGCTAAAGACTTCCAAGAAATAGGCCTGGGCTTCAAGGGGCATGTGCAGTCTCTACAGTCCTTCTGCTCAGGCCCTGACCACCTCAAGGGTGGTTGGTGGTATCACTGCCTGAGGGGCCAGCTTCCCAGGCAGCTACCAGCGAGCCTCCAGTCATGCCACACTTCCTCTTGCATGCAGAATTGCCTTGGCAACACTCTCACAGTCTACTTGGCTGGGCCCCAAAGCTCATGTCAGCCAGGCAAGAGGCGCCAAAGTTGCCCCATACTGGTTACTTTGAAGTGTCTCTGAGAATTCAATGCACAATGAAAGTTGGTTTCAGATACATTCAACCATCCTTTCATCAAACATTTACTGAGCACCTACTTTGTTCCAGGCTTTGTGCTCAACTCTCCAGGGAAGACAGAAATGGAGAGAGACAGTCTTTTATTATCAAGGGTTGGGAGACAGATATGAACGTCCTCAGTTGCAATTAAAGATGCTTATTTCAACAACATTGTTGTGTCCAAAGTCACCGTTGACAAATGGTTCTACCTTATGGTGAGCTCAAGAGAGTGAAGGAAGGGTCTGTGAAGAGACTTCTTGGGGAGAAATTTGTATGTGCTGAGTCCCCACTCTCCTCCTACACAGAGGGAAAGGAAGTACTGATGTTGCCTGAAGAGGGGCTTCTGTGGGATCAGAGAGCTTGAAGATTGTTCCCCATAATTGTAAAACAAAAACTGCACCAATACTTACTTATAAATTAAAGAGGGCTGTAGCCACAAAGTACATGTGGCTGCATTGGGATCTGTCTGGACACCCAGATTCAGCAGGGATGACAAATGTATAAATGTTTACCTGGACCAGATGTGGGCCACATGAAGACAGCCAACTTGGGGTTACCTTTTGTCCATCCAAATGGGCTGTCTAGAGGTATGGGGGGACCCAGTGGCCAGAAGCTGGAAATGAACACAGGGGTGCTACAATCCACAGTTTGTCACAGTCAACCACTTGCACTGGTTTTGGCCAAAGGAACTCAAGTAAGATATCTCTGGTGATGGGAATCTGCAAAGAACCTTTAAAAGCACGCTTTAAGAAAAAGAGTCAGCTTTAACCATGTGCAAGACCCAGGTAGTACAGACCTACCCTACCAAGAAAGAGAAACCTGCCCTATCTCCTTAGCTGTTTTTGTTTTTGTTTTTAGTTTTTTGAGATGAAGACTGGCTCTGTCACCAGGCTAGAGTACAGTGGTGTGATCTCGGCTCACTGCAACCTCCACTTCCCAGGTTCAAGTGATTCCCCTGCCTAAGCCTCCCAAGTAGCTGGGATTACAGGCAGGCACCACCATGCCTGCCTAATTTTTGTAGTTTTAGTAGAGAAGAGGTTTCACCATGTTGGCCAGGATGACCTTGATCTCTTGACCTCATGATCCTCAAGGCCCACCTTGGCCTCCCAAAGTGCTGGGATTACAGGCCTGAGTCACCATGCCCGGCTGATACTATTTGGTTTAAAGTGACTGTTACTTAAAGGATTGCCAG